GAGTTAAAAAAAAGGTTTTTGTTTTGTCTTATAAAACGTTTTCAAACAATTAAAGACTGAAGTGAAATTTAAATCAATTAAAAACAAAAAGCCAATAGGAAATAAACATAAAAACTAATAAGATATAAACCATAGCAACTCTGGTCCTGAGAGCTGTCGGCGATGCCTTTAATTGCATCTGCCTCTGTAGTTCGAAAGCATAACCTTATCAAATCGACTTTGATATGAACAAATAAAAGCAGCACGTACTCACATTTAAACACGATGAACGGTAAATGTTTGGCCTTTCTGCTTGAAAGACTTAAAACGTTAATTTTCTGTCAAACGTTTTGATGAGTGAAGACTAAAAACCGATTTGCACAAGTGTTCCTGAAATTCCTACTTTCACCTGAATGCATCAAAAAAGAACTCTCGGCGCACACGAGCATGACGTCATGCGCTCGGACCAAGCCGTGACCCGCTGCTCCTGCTAAGCTAAGGTGGTTCGTACCAACAGATGGTCCGCGTCAAACGCTCCGAAAACCCGCTTTCCTATGAAATGTGCCGCATTAAGCGATAACGGCGCAGTCGTAGGAAGAGCTAGTCACCGCGGCAGCAGCGTTTTCAGTGAGCGCCAGTTACTCTCCGGGAACGCATGCTTGTATTTTAAGTTTACCGCAGCTAGCTGGCTAGCTCGTCAGCTCACCAAAAGTGAAACAGGAACGAGACTGAAAGCTCCAGGAGTTTGACTTCAGCACAGCCAAAACAAGGTGTGTTTTCACGACCTGACCTTGTCTTTTATTTGTACCAGCTAAGAAGTGTGCAGCCGTTATTATTAATGTTACTTTGCCGTGTATGACAGGTGTAGCTGTGTTCATTTAATAAAGTCGTGTGGTTTAAAAAAAAAGAAGAAGAGGGAAATGCCCTCGCGACAGGAGTTTTTAGCCATACTGCCACTGCATTGTTTTACTGTGCTTCATCACAGGCTGCCAAAAGGTGTTTTTGTATGAGGATCACACGTTTCCATACTGTAATGTATTCAGTCTGTAGTCCGAATGATTTTCAGTCGGACTGAATTATATACTGAATGATATTCAATCTCTAGTGAGTATAGAGAATCCCACATCAATATGTGTGTGTTATTCTTTTATGTTATATGTTATTGATTAGCTTGAAGACATGCCATGACTGTGCACCCCAGCTGTGGACATTGGTCTTAGGGGCACACTGTTGGATTACATCACTTCTAAATGATAACAAACATCTATTTCTGCAAGAAAAGAAAGTGTTTACACATACGGGACAACACGGAGTTATGGTCAGAGGTTTGCATGCCCTCATCATGTGCATAAATGTCACATTAAATCTGAGCTTTTAATGATTTCTTTTTCCAAGGTGGAATGATTGTGCAAAAAAAAAACAACAACCCAAGAATCGGGTGCTCAAAAGTATACATTCAGCCTCAAATATATGCATTGATATTTGGTAAACTGTCCCTTAACAAGTGGCACCTTAAGCAGATCTTTTTGGTGGCCATGAACAATCGTTTGACTTAATTCTGGCTTGATTTGTGAACTCTGCTCTTGCCAGAATTTGTAGAGTTCTTTTAAATTTGTTGGTTTCCTGGCATAGACCTGTTGTAGTCCACAAATAGGATGGAGATGAGGGATTTGGGAAGCCCGTTCAGGAAGTTTAATGTTAGCCTGCTTTTTCTTATCTAAATGTATGTTTGGGATCATTGTCCTGCTGGAGCATCCGACTTGTGTCCAAGTTTCAACCGTCTAGTTTTTGATCTGAGGTAGAGTTGAAGAATTTGGAGGTAGTCATCCTACTTCATAATTCCATTCAGTTTGCGCAATTTACCACTGACACGAAAACAGCCCAGAGCGTGATACTATCACTGCCAGGCTTGACAGCTGGAAGCTTCGCTTTTACTCCTCCACACATACCTCTTGTCATTGTGGAGAAATACTCAATCCCTATCTCCTCAATCCCTATCTCGCCTGGCCATCAAACATGTATCCAGAAGGCTTTTGGCTTGTCTACGTGGGCAGTTGCAAATTTCATTCAAGCTTGAAGGTGTCAATTTTGGAGCAGGAGCTTCTTTCTTGGACGGCAACATCTTAGTCCATGGCGATTTAAAACTCTTCATGGTGGAGAATGATGCTGGTATTTCAGCAATTTCCAGTTCATGACAGGCTTAAGCCTTCGTGGTTCCTGAACATCCAAATCAATTCCCCCTCATCCGAGGGAGTCTGTTTGGGTCCTCTTCCAGATCTTGGCAAAATGGTGACATATCTGAATAACGGGTACTTATGTACAACTGGTTGAAGTGATGATCTTGGAATCTGCGGTTGTTTAGAAATGGCTTCAAGAGACCTTCAGTTCCTTGGACTTTCCTGTTGTTCAGCGTATAGGTCAGCTCAATGAGTGCTGTCAAACAAATCCTCTTTATGATGACAAAGAGAAACTACCAATTGTAGTCAGTCATGATCATTAACCAGAAGTTAATGGGCTTTGGCCTTGCCAATTTAAAAGGAAAAAAAGAAAGAAAATCCCAAATAAATTCAAACTTGTACATCCAATTCTTGTTTGTATTTTTTTTAAGTCATAAAGATCATTAAAAGCCAAAAATCATCATGACATTTGTGCTCATGATGAATGCATTTTAACTTCTTTATGCGACGTAACAATATAGCCGCGATTGACCTAATAATATCTGTCAACAAATTCATCAGTCAGGGGATAATTTTGGGTCTTTTTCTTGGCTCAGTGGGGGCCTTTAGGAGCACACTCATTGGTTCAGATATAATTAGCAAATAGTCTGTTACCTTAGGAAAGACTGGCTTATTCATTTTCCTAATATCTTTGGTGATTTTATAAACAAAAGTAAATTAAACCTCACTTAAAAAAAAAAAGAGTTGTTGTTCATTTATTTATTTTTATCACAGTCTGGCTGGGTGCTGTCTTTTTTGCCTCATTGGGCAACATTTAAGGAGTCTTGAGCTTTTCCATATAGTTTATGCATGTAAGCATGAATAATGTGGGGTAATCATGTTTGGTTATATCTCAGGGTTTTTCCATGTTGGATGTGACCTTTCAGGTCCACCTACAGTAAATACAATAAGTCTTTGTTGCCTTATTCAACAGAAATCTGTGTGTTGTTGTGTTTCCTGGATGTTTGAAAAACAAAATATTTATCGTGTTTGAGAAAATGAATCCCCGTTGAACATAAAAGCTTTATCGTTCATAATGGACAAAATCTGCATGTACCAAAATATTGTATTTTATTAAATACAACAAATTGTGTAATTACAGTAGCAGGAACTTGTTACATAACAAACTGTAACGTGTTAGATCACAGTCAGTGTGTTGATCACTCATTCTGTGCTTTTTAGCTGTCAACACACTTTTTATAGGACATAAACATGGTTTCTCCCTTGCGTTAGCAGCAGCTTATCCCTCCGTCGTCATCATGGAGTCCTGAAATCTTCAGGCTTCGGCGACTCGCCAGGTCGCTTGTGGTTGCTTTGGACCAGAGGCCTCTTCAGCCTACAGCCTGTCCGACCTCCCAGGCTGAGGGAGCGAGCAGATGGGGAACTGGTGCTGTTGTCGCCATGAAAGTCCCTGCGGCAGTTTGGAGGAAAGAAGCGGTTTGCTGACCAGTGACTCGAAGGCCACCCAGTTCACAGGCTGTAAAGCTGTGGCTGGCAATTGCGGTCCTGAAGGAGATGATTGCATGAGGTGAGATGACTGGGAAAACACAGACAGGGAAACTCAAAGTCTGAGTGTGTGAAGGGTGCTGGGTGCTAATAAGACTTGGTGACCTAATCTGGTACAACAGACACACTTTCACAGGATTTCCCAGCAGTGTTTCGTTTCTCAGGTTCCTCCATAAGCAGCAGACCACAAACAATTTTAGAGCTGACTCAGAACACTTTCAGCTGAGACTTTTAAACGCTTGAAGAAAGCTTTGGAGTTTGCGGTAATATTGGATTTAAGCATCTAAAACACGCAGACAGTACCTGCATCTGTGGTCACAAAAGCAGCATTAAATGCTGGAAAATGGGTGAAAACAAAATGATGATTAGATTTTCCCCTGTGGGTTGTGTAGGATGCACCATGTGACCCAATGACAGCACAAAACAGAGTACTGAGATCAGAAACAGGGTGAGGGGGACTTCCAAAGGTCTTAAAGTGTTTGTGGAAGTCAAAACATTTGTCATTTCATGAACTAACTGGTAATCAAAGAGATAATGTTTTGAACAAAGGTTATCTGCTTCCTCTCCACCTACAGGGTTGAAGGAATCCTGAAACATTTCAACAGTGTCTTATCTTTGGTCACAAAACATTGTTTTTCTGGGCATGAAAAGGGTGTAGCCGAGGCTCTGTGGCATTGTTAATGAATACTGTGTTGTCACTTAGGGATGAGGAGCGGAAGATGAGTCCTGAGACCGGAGAGCAGGAGCCTAATAACACTCAGGAAAATGGACCCTTGAAGCAGGAAGTCATTCAAATAGAGATGCCTCCGCCCTGCAACATGTCTGAAGAAAACGCCACCGGAGTACAAGATACAGAGGAATCTCCTGCTCACAGTCGTCAACTTCCAATGCAGTGCGCTTTGGGGTCTGTCCAGGATGAGCACGCCAAGGCAGATTCTGAGGTTTTAAAAGCACCAGAGATAGAAGAAAACCCCCCCACGCAATACAAATTCCCAGATGGCACCTCTCTGACACCTGAGGTGGTCTGCTTTGAAAAAACTCCGCATACTGAGGCAAACACAACAGTAGAGCAAACTGCAGCGAGCACAACTCATCATGACGAAGAAGAAAAAGTGACTGTTGAAGCTGCAGCTAAACCATCAGGGGAGTTTTCTGAAAATCACCAAGTGTCATCAGTGTCAAACATGCTGTTGGCTGCAGCTGCCCCGGCAGCCCAGCTGTCGTCTGCGTCTGTGGGAAAGCAGGAGCCTGAACCTGAGCCTCTGACATGGTGAGTTACATGAAATGAACCTGTAAGCTTAGAATTTAGCTTCCCTTTTATAATGATTTTAATATTTATTCTGAAGAGCTGGACAGAAAGTTCCAGTGCAGTTCAATGTCATATGTTGTCTGTATTTCTTTTAGAAGAAAATATGAACTTCTTAAAGCGCTTCTTTCTTTGTTGTGTGCGCATGTTTGTGTGCTCGTTTTACCATGACATTTCCTGCATTAAAAATATAACGCCTTACTTAAAAGTACCACAATATCTTAGCACCTGTATAATGTCAAATACTGTAAGACTCCCTCTAACAGCTCCAGGGTCTAAAATTAAAATATTGTGACACAAATGCGACACGTTCTTCTACACGTGGTGGTTGTTTAATCAAGTTTCGGCAACACCAAATATTTATTTTGCTTTTAGTGGTTGGACACATTGATATGTGTATTGTATCACTTCCCTTTGCCATACAGGTGTTGATACATTGCTGCCAAATGTAGTTCGTTTTGCTAAAACAGGAAGCTGCTCTAAACGTCTGTCAACAACTTGACTTACCGGAGGATCTGCTTTATGACTCTGGGTTTAAGATGATATAGCTCTGCCAATGCTGTAAATTCCTCTCATACCAAGCAGATTAGTTTGTTTATTCTTTTTTAAATTTTTAGTTTGATATGAATTGTGATGTCAAGTGTCCAATTTTGTCCCACCTAGCAGTGGTGAAATCCCTGGATCGAGATTGGGATCAGTTCCAAAAGTTAATCGCTTCCAAGTTGGGGGGCAAAAAAACACCTCTGTTTATATTTTCTTTCAAATACGCCAAAGTCTTTTTGAGTAATCCTGCAACAGAAAGACAAACTGAACCGCTCCTTTGGAGGTAACGATTGAGGGTAAACTAAGTGACTGGTTTTTATATAGCCCTTTTCTACTTGAGCACTAAGAAAGCAGTTTATACAACATGTCTCATAACCCATTCATGCACATTCACACTCCAGAAGATGTATCAGGATCAACGTGTGGTTGAGTGTTTTGCCCAAGGATACTTTAGCATGCAGTCCACAAACCTCCCAATTAGTAGTACTGTACTACCACCTGAACACAGCCTCCAAGTGATTAGGAGTTGTAGTGAAGAAGAAGGCAGACAAAATACAAAGCTCTTTACTTGAATTAACACACTGTTTAGAGTGAATATTATCATTACATATATTACAGTGAATAAACAGATGGTTACTCCTCTCAGCTCTGAAAAGCTGATGGGGTATTGAGATCACCCTGCCAGGCAGGCGCGTAGCTGTGAAGTGTGGACACGAAAGTTTATGAATGCAATAACTGGAGAACGAGGCAACATAGTATTTCAAAACTGATACCACAGATGCTACTTAAATCTCAGACGAGTGTGAATCCCGGACATCGGAGTCAGAGATCAACTTTTCAGATTTTTCAAATTTATACCATAGGTGCATTTAATAGGAGGCTGAGGGTAGCACAGACAACCGCTGGTATTTTTTTCTTCTGATGTATTGTTACACATATGTCTTGCAATATATAAAGTATTGTAGAATCACTGGGGATCAAAGTACTGTGATAGTATTGTGAGTTACTCTGTGACTCCCAATGCTGCTTGCTGCAGTCTTACTTTGGTGGTTTACTCAATTATAATAATCCAGATGAAACAGCTTGGCCTCCTTAAAAATGGTTTAAAGACAGAAGACGGTCTTATTGTTTCTAGAGGATCGTAACATTTTCTAATCACATCTGTGTCTGGTTTGGACAGCTGCTAAATTCTTTTCTTTCTTTTTTGTCGTTTAAGTTTTTATTTGTTTTATAACAACCAAAGGAATAACAAATCTTAAACGTAAAGCAGCCAAGTCGGCGCTTACCATACCATTCATGAATCTGATCGTCCCAGTGGTGCAAGAGCAGTCCCAGGATTTCTTGAAGTTCTCTGTATTGTTATTTAGCTTGGCCAGCAGGTGTTCATATGACACTTTCTCCAGCATGAATTCCAACCAGTTTTTAATGTCCGGAGCAGAAGTGGTATTACATGACCTGTATAATCTGTGACCACTCCCAACTGTATCACTGTATTTTGGTGTTTTAATATTAGGTATTATTGTCCGATTCCCCCAATAGGCATAGTCTTGGTGACATGGGTATCACCATGCACATTCTTATGTGTTATAATTCTATTTTCCAAAATGGGGAAACGTATTTACAGTCCCAGATCGCATGTATAAAGGTTCCTGGTTCTGCTTGACATTTCCAACATAAATAATTGGTAAGTAGACCCGTTCTACAAAGGCTAGATGGAGTAAAAAAAACTGTACTATCTTATAATGACTCTTTAATGTTTCCTATTATGTGACAGTATCTTTAACCATCCATCATCATTATTTGGACAGCCAAGGTCCCTCTGCCAGATAATCCTGAGAGCTTTACAGACTGTTTGTATGCTATTAAATAATTTGTGAAATGCGGATGCCTTGTGTTTGATACTGAGTAGATCCATACATTTTTGTATGTATGAAATTATCTTTAACAATGCAGCATCTAATCTATAAGTATTTCCAAAAGTTATCTTTTTGTTTTTTAACATTATATCTAAGCATGAAAACCCAAAAAAACACCCCGCCTGTGTATATACATCACCTATATTGTGTGTCCCCTCCATAAGTCACTTTCTAGTATGCAATTTATTCCCAACACAGATAAAAAGGTTGAACCATAATGAGGAGTACAGCTGTTTAAAATGTGACATGGCATGCATCCCGTGTCTCTTTTCTTTCTTTGTTTGCTTCTTGTCCTAAGTTCACCATCCCTTTAATCATTAACCTCCTTTTTTTATTTTTAGATCTGTGGTTGCATTAGACCATCAAACTGTTGCAGAATCACTGATCAGGGTCGTTTTATGACCATGCTGTTAACGCTCTATAGGCCTTGACTTACTACTTTTGGTTTTTCAAGTATGACATGAGGTGATAAGGGCTTCTATGGATAGCTTTATTACTGAACATTATTACACATGTACGACTGTTGTGTAATCACTTGCTTTTACATTTGTGCAAGCAATAGTCCATTTATTTTTTTTACCTTTCTTATTGCTGTCTGCTCAGTGCCGGGACAGATGATTCAAACAGCAGAGAGCCCAGTCTTGAAGACCCAAAAAGCCATGATGTCTCTCAGTTGTCTTCTGGATTGGAGCCCACGGAACTCGACCACAGCGGTGAGGGACAGGACTCTGCCAGCTCAGTGAAGGAGCCAGAAACCACAGCTCCAGCAGACGCCAGAGAGAGGCCAGTGGGTTCAGAGTTTGCAATAACAAAACAAACAAGGTATTTGTTTACGTGAACTCTGGACTTGTGGCGGCAGAGTGGCACTGTGGCCACTAGGGGGCGAACTCTTACCATTGCATCTTCTATGACAGTCAGCCCTCCTCATACCTGCAGTTTTCCTACAGCTAAATGTGTGCTTTACATTTCTAAATACAACTTAAGTTGCACATTTGCAAGTTTGAGTTTAAGACATGAATGGTAAACTTGGCTTTATACACAAAACGTGCATTTTCTTTTCAGCTTGCCGTTAGATGAAGATAAAAGGTCAGATGCGGAGCATACACCTGCAATGTCAGAGGAGGTCGTGTCTGTGGAGAAAACCAAGCAGGAACCAATGTTAGTGCAGGATAACGATGAAGATCTCCCCAAGGTCAAGCGGAACGATGAAGAGATAAAAGAGGAGAGGCCAACTGAGGCCGAGACTGAACCTGTGAAAGATGCTGAAGGCGAGGAGGTTACAGGAAAAAAGGAGCAGCTGGCAGAGAGCGCAACCAAGAATGTTATGGCTGACACCACGGAGAAGGAAGACAGGTCTGTAAAGATCACCTCTGTTCACTTTATAGTCCTGAATTGAATCACAGCATCTGTTGAAAGAATAAAGGAGGTAAAACCACTTTTACCCAAGAAACAGATGGGATTATGAGACAAAAATGTAGCAAAATACACACAAATTATGTGTTTGGTATTTATAGTCAAGTTTATGTTTATTTATTTTTTTATTTTTTTGCAAATGTCACAGAAAAATGAAATCTGGACTTACACATTTGAAGTGTGAGTATTTTTAGTGAGATTAAGTTGTCCCTGTCCCAGTTGGCATTGACTTAAAATTGCTCGATATGGAGATCCAGGACCAGGCTTTGGATACACAAAAATAACTTGTTGTTTGATTAAAAATAAGTGTTTCTGTTTTATCATAGTGAAGAAGATTTGTACAGAGGCGAAGAGGAGCTGTCTGCGTCACAGCCCGAGCTGGAGACAAAACGTCAGTACATCCTCCGCTTCTATTGCATCAGTGATTTTCAACAAGTGCAGCTTTTGTCTGTCATTTGAAATCTGGACAATAGTCTTTTTGTTCTGCCCATCGTCTCACCTTTCTCTGCTATCCCTCGCTCAGTTTTAAAGGTGGAGGACAGATGCAGTTTGTCACCGGTGGTGAATATTCTGTTGTACAGTGAGAGGGAGTGGAAGGGAAATACTCTTAAAAGCGCTCTCATTAAAAAGGTTGGTGCCTGAAGTTTCTCAGAAGAATCATTTCAGGTTAAAGCCAGTTCTTATTTATTTATTTTTACATTAATGGCTAGGATGTTTCCTCTAATGTCCCCGTGTGTTGGTGCAGGGTTATAAGGAGATGTCCCAGAGCTTTGCCAGCGTACGAAGAGTCAGGGGGGACAACTACTGTGCCCTCAGAGCCACGCTGTTCCAAGTGTTGTCCCACAGCACCCAGTTGCCTGCGTGGCTGCAGAATGAGGACGTCATCATGGTAAATTTTCACTTCTGCATCTTATCGTTCAGAGCTCATGCTGAAACCAGCCCCAGCATTGCCAAGAGTTGAAACCACTGCTGTCAGCAATTGCTGTAAGAAATTGCAGCTTCCACATTTTGTCCACCCGCCATGCTCTGTGCAACTGTTCAGACCTGTTTGTGTGAGAGGCCGTTCTCCAAAGGCAACAAAGCAGAACTGACTTTACACTGGGCACAGCAGCAGTGGAAAAGAGGAACTAGAAAAGTACCATGTACCGTAAACCTCAGTCACACAGGCGCAGGTTGGCGACTCCATGACAACCATTGGTTGCTAAGGAAAAATTGCTATTCCCCAATAAAAACCAAATGACAATCTGAATTTCAGTCATTTAGCAGTTCCTGGAAGTCACAAGGATTTACCAGGGGATCCCATGTGACTGGGGTACTATATTAGTGCTGATTACAGTGATAATTGGCTGCTTTGAGATTCAACATGTTGTGCGTTCAGAGATGCACTTTCACATCTCATGCTTGTAACGAGTGGTTATTAAAGTTACTGTTCGGAGGAGTCTGGCCATTTTCCTCTGACATCAACAAAGCATTTTTCACCCAGCGATCAGTGTCTGTTAATCCAAGAGATGGTTCTGTGGGAAAATCCCAACAGATCATCAGTTTCTGAAATACTTACACCAGCCTGTGGGCGATCGTGGCTCAAGAGTTGGGAGTTCATCATCGCCAGTGTGTGAATGTGTGTGTGAATGGGTGGATGACTGGATGTGTAAAGTGCTTTGGGGTCCTTAGGGACTAGTAAAGCGCTATATAAATACAGGCCATTTACCATTTTACCAGAAACTATGCCACCTTCAAAGTTTGTTAAATCTTCCCCATTCTGATGCCTATTTTGGACTTCAGCAGGTCGTCTTGATCATGTCTAAGTGCATTGAGTTGCTTTCATGTGATTGGCTGATGAGATATTTTTCTAAACAAGCAGCTTTACCTCATGAAATGGCAGGTAAGCGTATGTAGTTTGCCTGCCATGTCACTTACCTGCTAATTAGTGCTAAAGACTTGTAATAAACCGCACAATTTCACTCACAAAGAATAGCAACAGAGTTCTTAGTCATGGCATGGTATTTGCTAGATAAATATCTTAAGTCCTCCAGACTGTACCTCAAAGCAGCCAGTCCTAATAATACATAACTTTAACTGCTGATGAAGTTTAGATTAATCACTTATCAAATTTGCCCCTCATAAAAGTAAAGGGGAAATTGGCTATAGACCAAAACTAGGTTTCCTTATGCGCAATACTGAGATTGTGATTATGTAAAATGCAGCAGCAGAATGGGTTTTTGGGGTGTGACTACTCCTGCAAGCTTGACTGGCACACATATAGTTAAAGGTATGTTATTTAAAAGAAAAAAAGGATACTGTACTGTACTAGAACTGTGTGTAAATACACCTTCCAACAACTTGATGCGTTCTCATAAACATATAATTAATCAATAAAAAATACATAAAAGTGGGCATTTCCCTTATGACATTTTCCTTCTTACCCACGGTGTTTTACATTTGGGGCTAGAGACCGGCCACATAAGTATTGTCTCAAAAGCAGAGAAGTAGAGACGTCTCAGGCCTTAGTGTGCCCTGAAAGGACATTAATAATTGTTCCTGGATCTTCAGACTCAAGACATGAAGCATCATACCTGTTTTATTTTCAGAGAAGGGCCTTCTACAGATGGGGAAAACCTCCAAGGTGGCTCTGCATCCAGTGTTTTGTTTTTTTGTTGTTGTTGTTTTTGCCTGTTTTTATTTCAAAGGACTTTGTGGTTTTTGACCTGTGAAAGGTGCCGTATAAATAAAGTTTACTCACTTACTAGTAGAAACAGGCTGGCTGGCCGTGCCCGTTACCGGGTACAGTCTATGTAATTTCTTTTTTTTTTAACCTGTCTTGCTAACTAAAACTTATTTGTCCTACAGCAGCCACCGTAGCTAGGAGTATGCACTGTAGTTATTCTGTCTGCCTTCTCTCTCCCCAAGCGGTCGCGGCAAATGGCCGCCCCACCCTGAGCCTGGTTCTGCCGGAGGTTTCTTCCTGTTAAAAGGGAGTTTTTCCTTCCCACTGTCGCCAAAGTGCTTGCTCATAGGGCGTTATATGATTGTTGGGTTTTTGTCTGTATGTATTATTGTAGGGTGCACCTTACAATATAAGAATAAGATTAATAAGAATAAGAATAACTTTATTTATCCAGAGGGAAATTCTTTTGTCATGTACATGCTCAAAGTAGCAGGAGAGACAGAGGAACAGATGAATAAGATATACAATATATACAATAAGAGCAGTAATATACAGTAATAATGCACCTTGAGGCGACTGTTGTTGTGATTTGGCGCTATATAAATAAAATTGAATTGATTTGAATTGGGAGGAATAAGAAAACAAACCTCGGTTGACTGCAATCTGCAATATACCTAATCCAACAGTGAAAACTTTACACAGCGTAACTTTAAGAATGTATTATCTTAGTTAACAGTTTTCAATTTTCCTGCGACTTGTGTCCATTTTATAAACAAAAAATGTGTTTTATGCTGACAACATAGTCACTAACTCCTTGGTCTGAGAAGTCACGTTGCTAATATCGAATGGTTAATTATATACAGCTGTTGGTAGAAAAGAACCAAAAATTTACTGCAGAAGTGATCATTGCCCCGTCTTGTAAACACTGTTAATGTTACATAACGTAATTCTTTGTGTTTACAGCTGCCAAAACAACTGGAGGCTCAGGATGGGCTGATAAGTCAGTGGACATTTCCTGGAGAGTGCCTGCAGAGAGATGGGACAGGAGATGCCGTCCAGCAGCTTAAAGGCTACATGGAGCTTCTCCGTAACACGGTACTGGCTGCAGACCTTAACAGAAACTCTCACACAGCAAGAAAGTATTTCAAAAACACAACAAGCGTAAACCACAGCGCTATTTTTATGCCATTTGTGGACACTCGAGGGTATTGATATTCACCCATGAAGGGTTGGCTGATTGCTACCATATGTTAAAGGGAGGTAGTTTTCTAAAGGATGTGTGGCTTCTTTTTTCCTGTGTGTCATTAAAGCAGCCTGGTAATGCTCTGAGGGGATTTAGAGGAATAGCAGGAACTGAACTGATAAAAGCACTTTACCAGTCTGAGGCTTGGTGTTGAATTTATATTCAGTCGCTGCCTGGTAGGATGAGGAATTCTGGTGTTTACATACCTCTGTTGTGTTACGAGATGTAGCTGTGTATCTGACAGTATAATCTGTGGTCTGTCTCGTAGTCTGCGCAGTTTGTGTCATTTAAGTGTATAGGGGAAAGACACTCAATACAGCAGCTTTGCAATAGATAAAAATGGGGATATCTGATTCTGTAGTGTGTATCATCATAAAGGAAATAACCAACAAAAGATCCTTTTTGACCAGATCAGCCTGGGGACCAACGTCAAGAACAGATCAGTAACTACAACCGTCATTTTCACACCTTTGAAAACTATAAAGTGGTGTATTTACAAAAAAAAAAAATCTCCCCGCAACAACAACCTTGGGGTCGTAATTTGTTGTTGATGCTTCCATCCATACCAAAAATAATTGAAACCATCAGTGCTTCCATTAATCTCTATACCATAAGGTTTCAATTTAGTGCAAGAATCCATGTGCCAAATAGCATTTGGCCCTTTATTGCTTAATAATCTGTTGGATTGACCCGCTGCACCACATATCCCATTTGAATAGCTCAAAGGTGTCCAGCGTTATCCTTGACTCTGTCCATTGTGCTGTAGTTCTTTATGCACAAATGACATCACCTCATCTAAATCGGTGTGTTGTCTTCTGGATAGACCCATTTCCTAACATCGTTTCTTCAAAGTCTGGATGCTTATGATAATGTGCTGATTCTGAGGTAAAATCATGAGTAGTTATTTGGTGCCACTATAAAAGTAAAATTTACTTAGGTCATCTAATGTTGGCAAAGCAAAGTTGTTGCACAAAGAGACGGGCTGTATTTAAATACACCTGCCCTGTATTTTTTTTTTTCTACCTTCAGCGGCCCGTCGTAAACAAATGAATGTGTCATTATGCAAACAAATAAATGTTTTCAGCCAAGATATGTCAAGTGACCGAGTGCGTGCAACACAGTAGTCAATTTGCTCATTGACAAAGACTCATTCAGACTGATGGTGGCTACATGCTGGCAATCTGCCTGCATTTATGAATTAGAAAGCAGTTATTTGCAAACCTGCAAAAATCTCTCTGAGAGCGATTGCAGTCAGTCCAAGTCAGACTGTGACTGTTTGCACAAAGGTTGCATTCCCTTTAGGTGCAATCAGCTTGTGATCAAAGATGCTCGTGAGTGTGCAACACCCTCAAGCTCTGAGCAACCATTTAGTCACCACAAGTTGCAGTCAGCTACAGAATGTGAAAAAAATTCAATACACTCACCAATCAGAGGCAAGGAGGATGCTTTTTACCCATGTTACTGAGCTGTTGGCGTGCTCTGAATTAATATGTAGTATTTGAGTTTAACTTAATTAAACTTTAGCTATCCAGTGTTGGATTGCTTTTTGGTTGAGTTGAAGTTTGCTTAGCTAATGTTATCTGCTCGAGATGAGTCCTCTTCTTCATTGTTTCCCCAGAGTTTTTTTATTATCATTATTTTTATTTTATTTTATTTTTTATAAAGTATTGACATTGTGGTGCCAGTTTAGCTTAATGGATGAGCAAATGATCATCTGCCACATGACCAGAGTGCAGCAGTGTGTTCGCTGCTCCACTATCCAATAAAGGTGAAAATGCCCCAAATTTTTCAGGTCTGTACGTGACTTACTCAACCTTTTGAGCCACAGCCACCCTGATACAGAAACTTGAAGGACATACACACATTTTAATAAATGTGAAACTGCAGGGGAAAAGGGATTCCTAGTGCAATTTGGAGAAAAATCAAAGATCAGATTGTTTGAAGTCCAACTACAAGTGACAGGCTCATCGGGTGTGTCTGTGTTACCCAGAGATCATTACTAACATGCTGAACATTTGTATTAAGAACCGTTCTCCTTGGCAGGTGCAGACAGCAAGTGTTAAATAGTAACAGTAATTATATGAAGTGGAAAAATGTTGAGTGTAAAGTAATGCATTGTCATAAAGGGCATCAAGCTTTTTTATCCTTAACACTTAACATCCAGGTCCCGGACTGTCGTCAGCTTACACTTTGACTAAGTGTGCCTTTGTTCCACTGACTCTCAATGCTTTCTTCTTGCTGGTTGTCAGATTGACTGTTGATATTTGACCTGTTGCCTACTGACAGGTGATGTAATCTCCTTTGTAACAAAACATTCAAACAGCTGTCGCCTGATGGCTTCAGGGCACTAGACACGTTCCCACTATTCTTGTGCAATAAACCCTCTATTGTTGTGTCGGGTTTGGAAACACAATCACACAATCCGACCAAAGATGTACGTCATATTTCTTGGCGATTTCCAGTGGGGAAAAAAGGACAGTAAAACGTCAACAAGCAAGTCCAACTGAAGTATTTGTATGATACTGTCTGACTGTTGTTCCTTCATTCCACAGTTTCACCCAACTATGCTGGCACCATGATTCTCGTTTGCTTTGTTTACAGCTGTACACTGCTGACTGGTTTTATTAAAAAAAAAAGAGAAAGAAAGAAGAAGAAGCAAACAAAAAAAAACACTCAAAACAGAACCATTGTAGAAACCTCAAAAGAAAGAAAATGTCCCAATATTCCTGTCAGGAAATCATGACTGGTCCTAGATTTAGTGTTCTATTGATCAGCCATCATGCATGACATCTGTGTTTGTTCTTGAGTCATAATCGCATTGATATTAGGTTCTGTCTGAACAAAAAGGATTACATACTATTATGGGAGGTGATAAGAGAAAGAGGAATTTTTGCCTTAAAGAAAATTCGATTAAAATAAACAAATAAGACTTACAGTACTTTTCTGCTCTAGCACTTGAAGTCAATTAAATTATGTGTTATTGATTTGGTCAGTGAAGTGGCAGAGGGGGTTGTTAATTAGTTTCAGCTGCTTTAGAGTTCGTGAAATTACCAAGAGGCATTACCAGTGGGGCAACAATTTGACAACCCCCAAAACAATTTTTCCCCTCCTCATCTTCTCTTCGTTTTTTTCCATTTGTTTTGCATTTTTCAAGGTGTCACTACTGGTACTATGAGGCGATACCTGGACCCTACAGTGGTTGCACTGTAGTTCTAACTCTTGCAGGATGGCACATCAATACGTGCCATTGCCAGATGTTTTTTTTGTCTCCCAGCACAGTGTCAAGAGCATGAAAGAGATTCTATGAGACAGACAGTTACTCTAGGAGAGGTGGACCGGGCTGTAGAAGGCCCTTAACCCATCAGCAGGATCTGTTTCTTCTTGTTTATGCAAGGACAAATAGAATTAGCCTTGCCAGAGCAATGACCTCCAGCAGGCTACCCATGTGGGTTTCTGACCACGTGGCTGAAACAGACTTCATGAGGGCCCAACATCATCTAGTGGGCCCTGAGCTTACTGCCTAGCACCGTAAAGCACGATTGGCATTGGCCATAGAATACCAAAATTGGCACACTGGCCTGCTGTGCTTTTCACAGATGAGTGCTGGTTCACCCTGAGCACATGTGAAAGAGTTTGGAGAATCCCAGGCATGCATGCAAACTCATGGGGGTTTGCATGCATGCGAGTAACAAATTACTCAGTACCATTTTAAGCTACAGCAATGAAATTTTGGCAAAACCGACTAGCTTGACACATCATTTTTTCACTTCAGTTTTCGGGGACTCTTTGAACTTAGCGCTCTGTAGCTTGATACTTCTTATTTCCATCAAACAACATGGCATCCTTTTCTTCCTAACACATTACCCAGTCTGTACAAGTGTAGATTTTTCCCCATGGACGTTTGATGTGTTTTCAAAGTATTCCTTTAACATATTTGAGCAGTGCATTTCCATCTTACACACACTCTCTGATTGGCAGTTTTGAAGTTCAGCATCCTGACCAGCAACACTTCGACTGACTGGAGGATCTAGTTACCCCCAACCTTCCAATTAGCAAACACATCCCTGTACCTCCTTAACCACAGCTGCCCCATCCCAACAACTAGGGATGGACCGATCCGATATTACGTATCGGTCCGATACTGACCTAAATTACTGGATTGGATATTGGAGAGAGATAAAAAATGTAATCAGATTCATTAAATATCTCAAAAGCACCTCACAAAACTTGCAACCAATGACTGTAGAAAAGGTCATTGCTTGCGACACGGCGTAACTCAGCTCATGACCCTAGCATGTTGGGGCAGTATGTGTCACGTGATAGAGCAGCTGTGGCGTGCGAGACCTCTCGGCAGTCGCTACCAAACCGGCATTTCATCTCCGAGAAAGTTAACCCAGAAAGAAGTAAAGCAAGTGTGTAAGTTCATCTTTGAATGTTTGTAAAGCATTTTAGCGTTACGATTAACAACCAATATATGGAGTGACTGCCTCTTCTCTCCCCTTCCTCTCCTGTTGCTACTTCAATCATGAAACTGATCAATGACCCACTCCCGTCTCTCTTGTTTGTTTTTGGCCCACTTCGCGCCAGAAAGAGGAAACCAGCAGCTAAACAACAGCAGCACGTTTAAGCTTGATAAGCTGTTGTTAGAATTTATTTAATATTACTTTCTACACCAGGATCCTTTTCTACATAGCTGACGGCTCGTAACTGTGCAGGGGCGGATCTAGCAAAGTTTAGCCAGGGGGGCCGATAGGGCATGAACAGGGAGAAGGGGGCACAAAGAAATACTTTTCTTTCTTATTCTCATTTAAAATGTCCAGCTTTAATTAAATAATTATCTGAATCTTACACCCAAAGTTTTAATCTGATGTAAAATGAATAGAAGTCCATTACTGTATATAGTAACTATTAAGTCTAATATATACCCTAGTAAGCTATACTACTTTTTCCTTTGGGAACCATCTGTGCGGTCTGCAATTCTGTTGAAGAAAGATGTTGAATCTATTTAATTATTGTAGAAAAATAATTTATTTCTGTGCATTTATTTATTTATTTTTACACGTGCATTAAATTAAAGTTGATTACATCGATTAAGCATCACGAGGTGGAGGGTGGTTCCCTATTTTTTTTTTTGTTGGCAACCCTATTAGTTAGGTTGTTTAATATTTCTGCTAAGTACTCTTTAAAATACCAGAATAGGGAGGATGGTGTGGGTTTAACTTTATTAGCTCAGTGTTGCTGAACTATGAAATATTTTGGGTGCAGTGTATTTTTTGCATACAGGTTTATCAGAATAGCTTTAGTGTTTTGTTTTGTTTTTGTTTTTTTTAAATGTATGAACCTATACAAAATGCAGCAAGATATTAAAAAAACATTTTTATTGTTTAAAAAAAATACACTATATCGGATTCATATCGGTATCGGCAGATATACAAATTTATGATATCTGTATCGGACGTAAAAAAGTGGTATCGTGCCATCTCTACCAACAACCTGCCCTCATTATCTGAGCTTTAAGTTCCATAACCTGAAATTATGTCTGAAAAAAGCAGTAAATTCTCATGTATAGCCAGCTGTTTTAGACCTCTTCAGTGACTGATACACTTTGTTTGTCTCCAGTGGCAGGCAGCGGTGGACTGTGCCACCAACGCTGAGCGTCAGCAGCTCTGTGAGCGAGTGTTTCAGGGTGGAGAAGAGGAGCTCGGTCTGCTGGAGGCTCTCAAGCTGCTGATGCTGAGCAGAGCGGCAGAGTTGCACAGCTGCATGCAGGGCGGTGAAGACGTCCCCCTCTTCTGCTGGCTGCTGTTCGCACGGGACTCCTCCGACTGTCCACGCTCTTTCCTCTCCAACCACCTCAGCCACGTGGGCCTGACCGCAGGTCTGGAGCAGGTGGGAAGCGTCTCTGTTGTTTTTGACAACTTTATGGTAAAAGGTTGCTGGGAATTTTCTTTCCCACTGAGTAAACATCTGTCGCACTCAGTAACAAAAACAACAATTCGGGCTGAACATCACGAGGTGGGTGTGTTAACATTTTTGTCATGTGAGAGCCGAATAGTAAAACATGCCGGCGCTTGCTCTGTTTTTTGTTTTCCGCTTGTTTTGAGTGATGCACCATTGACCCCGGGGGCGGAGGTAGTTCTCAACTGCTGAGCGTTTTAATTGTTATTTTCATTTTTTGAATAACAGATTTTACAAGCTCTGCTTCTAAAGAGAGACTCCACCCGTAAATGTTTTGTGCTGAAGCAGCTGATCAAACATGGAGCTGTTTGAGAAGTCTGCTGGAGTTCCTCTGTAACTGTGCAATTATCCCCTCCCCCCTCCCTTTGCGTTTTCTCTCTTGGGCAGGTGGAGATGTTCCTGCTGGGCTACGCCCTGCAGTGTACCATTCAAGTTTACAGACTGTACAAGGCAGACACAGAGGAGTTTGTCACCTACTACCCGGACGACCATAGGGACGACTGGGAATCTGTGTGCCTCGTCACAGAGGATGATCGCCACTACAATGTGCCCGTTGTAGAAGCTGCAGAAACACAAAAGGAGCTCCCCTCCAGCTGATTGCCACTGCAGAAAAACCTCCTGCCATACAAACACCCCTCAGGTTGATCAAGATTTATCAATTAAAGGTATAGTTTTGGGAAGTGTGCTTATTAATTGACAGCCAGCAGTAAGTTTGCTTAGTTTAGTACAAAGAATGGAAGTAAAGGGTACAAACATACAACCACCAGCACTTTTGATTGTTTGTTTTTGTTTTTGTTTTTTTACTTTAATCCACACAGAAATCAATGACACATTATGATTTTCTTCTTCTCTGGACAGAGGCGCCTCGCTAACCTTTCTCTATTTCCTTTATTATCTATTAACCTTTTGTGGTAATCAAAGATTTTATCCTCTTGCTAAATTAGTAACAGGTTATATAATTGGCTTCAGAAATTTTAAGCCAGGCTTTCGTTAAATTTACATGTAAATTTCACGTAACAGAGACTAAGCCAGCGAAAACACACCCATGCTGTTGAGGAGAGCAGAACAGGTTAGACAGACACACATGCATCAGCACGAATCAGCTGCTGCAGCTGTGCCGAGCATGGGTCACATCTGTCTGTACTGTTAGATGAAAAAGGGATCACAGATCTGTTGCTTTAAATTATGAGCGATCTTTATCACTGTGCACACACTCCACCAGAAGTAGAGGTGAATGCACGTTAAGAGCCTGGTCTCAGTTTTAATCTCCATCATAAAAAAGCTGTTTAAATATCAGCAGGAAAGAGAAACAAGACAAACTCTTCTGTTGTGATCGCTAGTTGGCTTAAATTAAGATACTTCTGAAGGAAAGGTGCTGGTGGGAGGATGTTCTTACCTTTGGAATGAGTGGTAACCTGAAACCTGCAGACCTCCACAAGAGATTGATGATTTTTGTTTTGGGCCTTTTATTAGAGATGTTCCTGGCTAGTCATCATTTCTAAAAGGCAAAATAATAACTCAAACCTTTAGAATTGAGCAGACCTTAAATCAGGGATGTCAAACTCATTTTAAGTGGGCCGGACAGATGAAAATCTCCTTTGTGTCAGCGTGAAGAAGCTTAACTACACATTTAATCTCAATATAAGAAGAAGTGCGATTTCAACACTACGTCTCAAAAGAAATGCTGCTGCAGCAGACAAAAGAATTCTGGGATTTCATTACAAGAAATAAATGTTACAAATTACAGAAAAGTTCTGGTAGCTCATTGCCCAGAATGTCCTGCAATTATGAAGCATACTTTTTTTTTATTTTTAATTCAGATAAAATGCTCTATTTTATTTATCAGTTTTGCTGTGGACACACTGTAAAAAAGGAGAAACTTCTCTAGTAGATGGTGCAGCTTTTCTGTCATTTAATTGGTTATCCAGTACACAATTACTATGGTGCAGTATGTGTGGCTGTGGAGGCGATCTTAATTAGTAGGAAAAGCAGTAAAACACACAGAAAACAGTCCAATATAAGTCCACGATTTCTTACATTGTCTAAAGATATCCAGTTGGCCAGATTGGAGTCTTTGCCAGGCCGATTCCAGCCCCCGGGACTTACGTTTTAAATTTGTCAAGTTAAAAATTTGACATTCTGCAAACACATTCCACGTTAATGAAAAAGTCCTTTTTTCATTCATGCAAGCACACCCCGGTGCAGAATGTGGTTAAACCTGGCTTTAGCTGCTTGTTTAACCAGCTATTTCAGCAGCTGACTAGCGGGGGGAGGGCAACATTTAAATAACTAGTCAACTGGTACTGTTTGACAAATATTATGGTCTGCTGTGTAGTAGGGCCCATTCTATAAGTTTTTTCATCAGTTGTAGTGAATTACTGCCTGAATGTTGCACTGATTACAGAGCGTATCCGTCTATGCACTGCACCCATACAGTCTGTATGTGGAGCTTTCTGGATAACCTTGCGAGCATTAGCTGACACGTTGACACATCTGGCCGCAAAAACCAAAGTGCTTAAGGCCATTAAGTAAACGTAACGTCACAGTGACTGTGTCCATCTTCGGTATACAGTTTATGTTTTTGGCAGAGAACAGCTAGCTGTCTCCCCCCGCTTACAGTCCTTATGCTAAGCTAAGCTGACTGCCTCCTGCTTCACATGTCTAACTCAGCAAATAAGCACACGTCCCAAAAATCTTGACCTATTCCTTTAAAAAACAAAAAAAAAACAAAAAACAACACACAACAAAATGCTGATTCAAGACCACGTACAAGATTTGGTTTACATGTTCTTGTACACACTGTACTGTATACACAGTTTTCTATTTGGATATGTGTACATATCGGATATCCTGTGATTTTCTCAGATAGACGCAGATTCCTTTGCAGGGTGTCATTTTGGAAGGAAAAAAAGCCCAAATTTTCTCAGAAGTTTTTTGTTTTTTTTTAATGTAAAATTTTGAGTGAAGCTGCCAACAGCGCCAAAAACGTTAGGTGATGGTATTTACACTGGATGTTGGGCACTTTGAGTGTTAATTTATTGTTTTGTTTTTTAAAACAAGTGTGACCGTCTAAATTCATTAAGTGAAGCAACTGAATTAGTCAATGAAGGGTTGGACGATTTATCAGGTTCAACACCAGATGACGATCAGAAGATTACTCGCATCCTCTGTGTCAGAGGTGTGATTTGTGGCAGTCTGTGTGTGCATGTGTGTTTGACTTTGTGTGTATGTGTGTGTTAAACTCAATGTGTAACATGCTGCCTTTTAACCAAGCTGTTCTGAAGGGAAGAAATGTGCCAATGTTGCTGCTAACACTGGCAACAGACCCAACCACCAGCCGCTGGACTCAGAAAAGGCTCGCTTGGTCCTCCGTGTTGCCTTAGAAATAATGCACAGTAAGAATGAATGTTGGATATTGGTGATAAGAGGCCATTTATGTCTTAATTCCAGAGCAGGTAAAGGTGATTAAAGAAAATGTTATGCCATTTGCAGGAATGTTCTTGCACTGTCAAAAGTTTTGGACAGCATTTAAATAAAATGATTTTTTTGGGGTGGTGGGGGTAAAGTTCTGGATTGAGGTCTGTAGACAAAATAAAACAGTGTAAAAACGTTCTTAAAGTGGAGCTTTCCTCTTTGTCTTATGTATACTATTACAATAGTGGATGCTCATTTAAAATAGGGCCAGTGTGCTCGGCATATGCACAAGTAATCGTTTTCATCCCATTTAAGTTTTCTTTTTTCTAATCTTGGCTCTGCATGAGGTCAGTGAGGGAGAGGATATCTCTAATATGGTCATCTCACAAGCTCCACCCACAAGTTTGCAAGGGGCAGCCAATTAGAATAAAGTTGTGTTAAACAGGATGAGGATGAGTTTAAAAGCATCTTAAACTGGGTCTTTATGCAGCTCATCCTCTGTGCGAAACAAGCCATCTCTTTAAGACTTGCATATTTTAACTCTTCACCCTCGGATACCTTCTTCTGGTCACCCTTGTTTCTCTTTCCCAAACTGGTGTCTGACCTGCTTCCAGAACAAAATGACTGGCTACGCATCAGAGGTCTAGGTATACCCTTGGAAAAACCTGGAAATTACTCCAGATAGATGTGTAGATAGCCACATCTTTGTAGATATATACTGAATTGTCAACCCTGACCATCTAGGGTACTGGGGGAGGTTGTCAGATGTCTTTATGGCAGAAAAGAGTAAAAGCCCACTTTCTTCTGATTGGTCGCCTGACATCTGAACCTGGTGCTTGTGAGCACTGCTTCCTTCGCTTGCCAGCGTTTTTATTTTGTTAATACCAAATTCAGATGTTGAAAAGAACAAAAACATTAGTTTGTAATCACAAAAGTTTTGCAAGATTGGTCAAATTTGTCAACAGAGCCCGCACGATGAGACTTGCACAGATTTATGAAAACAGTGTTTGTATTTTAATACATGTTTTAAACTTATTAAATCTCACCCCTGACACAAATGTCATATAATGAATAAAAAAAAAATTAAGCTGAAAGAGTCCAAAATCCACTATAAATTCAGTTCCCTTTAGTTTTCAAAGCCAAAAATAAAACAATACAGGCCTAAAAAAAAAATTCTGCCGTAACCAATAAATGACATTTTCTCGGATCCATTCATACACGCTCTGACGGAGTATAATGCAGATTTAACAATGGTTACCTGCTTATTGTGGGAGAGAACAGCAGGTTTAACTTTCACTCACTGGTTGTGTGAAACTGCTTTTATATTTCTGTTAGCAGGCGTTCATGTGGGGGAAAGGGTGAAACGTCAGCTCAGTTTGAAAAATTTCGTTCTCTGAAAATACTGACGGCAATCTAGTGAAACTTTACTCTGGTCACTGAAAACGGAGCTCTGAAGTTTTATTCTGCTACTGAATAAAAACATTTTCCATCGAGAAGTTAAAATTTCAGGTCAATTATCTCGAGATATAAATATTTGAATCAAAATCTTTCCTGGGAATTATTGTTCAAATGTATTTTTTCTGTGGCAGAAATGAGCTTCCATACAAAACAGTCTGTTTGGCTTTCCTGAAGGAATAAACACAAGATTAAAATTTATTTCACAACCAAAATGGCATTTTTAATTAAAACCCTCCAAACTTGCAGAGTAGTGGGAATATTTTACAAAACCAAATTTTCTGACTACATAACATGGACTTGTTTACACATTTAACAAGTGAAAGGCTGCTGGTTTGATTCCAGCTGAAGACAACCCCAAGGGGATTTGTATCAGGAGGGGCATCTGGTGCAAAACAGTCAATTTAAACTTGTGGAGCGACCCTGCTCCCGAGGAAGCAGCAAAAAGGTTGCTTTTATATGAAAACCCCCTTTATTAAACTTTAGCAACACACAAGAGAAGGAAAAAAATATAATTTTTGAAGTTATTAAACCCTCATTGATTACTTGTACATAGCCCAAGCTTCAAATAAGTACAGTGTATCGATACTGTGAGCACCCACCGCTGTGTACATGACAAATGTATAACAGATCCACTTCAGGGGGAGAAAAACATGATTTTGCAGTGGTATCTGTTAGACTCAAAGAAACAAGAAGGTAAAGCCAGTTCCAGGTAAGCATGAAGATTATTAATAAAGCAATTTATTTGCCAAATAAGAATGCCTTTACAGTATATACAGTACATATGACAGCCTGAATACCACCAGGAAAATGCTGGGCAAAACAAAAGTTGACTCCCAGACTGCATGGAAAGAGAACAATCATAACTATTTTTTTGGCGTTTTGGTTCGTTTTGAAACACGCAGTGATATATAACGAGGGATTCCTGACCCCCCTGGGCAATTAAATATACACGATGCATTACCTATATAAAACAACAATAATCTGTACACCGTTGTATGGAAAATACGATTGCACAACCCAACAAGTCCCACAGTATGTCTATATCTGAATCCAAGCAAGGCCTTGCTGCTTAATCGTCGATTAAAGAACATAAAGAACTCTTTTGGCAACTCCACCACCACTCGACAGACGCTTCCATTCTCGCCGCTGAGGAGGAAGAGCTCTCCCGTGTCGATTTCCCTTGTTTACCAACACATGAAAATGATTATTACGCCCCGCAGATTATGAGCACTGAAGATCGGAAGACGCTAACGGTATTTACATTGATGGATGAACACGTGGAGGTGCATGGCTTTCTTTACAGTGTGCGCATTAATGGTGAGGTGGTCGACGTGAAGAAGAAGACCTCAGTTCTGTCGAGGGGACCTCTGAAACCAAAACCATACTCGGGGGTCCCCTCTCTCCTCTCCTCCAGCACCGTATGTCCCACATTGAGCTCGGCTTTACCTTCCTCCTCCTCCTCCTCCGCTCCCTCGGATCTCACTCCTGTTCCTCCTCGTCCTCCTCCTGGAGCTCCTCGATGGCATCCATCTGATTCCTGGAGCACACCTCGCTCATGGGGGCCGAGTTCTCGCCCTCCACCACCAGCTCGTTGGACATCTCGTTTTTCTGTGGACAAAGCAGACGGGGGAAATGGAAACAAAATCGTTACTGTGCTGAATCAAATGAGTAAAAATGAAGCCACTGTGAGTCCAGAGGTTACAAAATCCATCCAGCAGCACCTCTAAAGTCACTAATTAACACCTTACATCTCTGTTTAATCTGGATAAAAACAGTGTAAAAAAGCAGTTTGCAGGTTTGTGCCTGATTATTTCTTGGCTGAGCACAATGATTTCACCATGAAGCTGCCTGGCTCAAACACCAGGAGGGCACAGCGTTTTAGCCAAGAAACACCACGGCCTTCTGGCTATGATCTCAGCCTGTTATGTTATCCAATTAGGTGTTTTTGTGCGGATTAATGAGCTGTAAGGTGTTAATCAGAGAGCTTTAGCCTTACTTGTAGGCAGATTTAGTTTCCTTTAAACAGGGAAAGACCAACTTTCCTTTATGTCTTCATGCAAAGCCAGGCTGACTACTGATTCATATTGAGTAGAAAAATACGATGCACCATTCATGAAACACATACATAAATATTCCTTTAAAATAAAAAGCAAAGCTGGAGATTGTTTATTTGCCTAAAATGGAAGAAACGCCATGTTTTCAGATAGTTTTTTTTTTTTTTTTTTTAAATACAACATGAACACGGTGCAGCTTCCCGCTTCAACAGGATGCCGGGAGTAACAAGGTTGTTCATCTGAAACCGGCTGTCCTTACAAATTAACATTTTCCTAAAATAAACAAAGAGAATGTTATATTTCTGACAATCAGAGAGGTGTGGTCACAGAATAGCAAGTACAAGTTTATTAAAGCTGTACCGTTTTCAATTTTACTTTTTTTTTTTTAAAAGACAAACAGAACATTAAAGGTGACACTTTATGATGATGTCAACTTGATATTTTTTTTTTTTTTTTTTTAAAATTCTAGAATTCTGCTAGAGGAGCTTTGCATAACTTACAGCTCAAAATAATCCTTCATAATAATCATGCTGTTAGTTCGACTTGTCTGTCGTTTTAGCTTCTCCTTTGTGCAAGCTTTCTACTGGTTGGCTGCTCCTTGTAAACAGAAACATTAAACAGTGGCCGGGAGTTCTGTACCTGAGGTGACTGTATTAGACTCGGTCACAAAGGCCTACAAACCGTGACCCTCGGTGACCTTCGTTGCTATGGAAAAAAAGTCCCTGACAGGTCACAAATCACAAAGAGTGCTTCTGCACTAAAAACCTCCTTGGACTGCTTTGGTAGTGAAACCATTCACCTTCAAATTAAAAGCTGAGCTTGACCTGCAACCAGTAAACTTTTATTTTGAAAGCGAACTTTGTTTCCAATTTGTATTGGACTTCACAGTTTCAATTTAATTTGTTGCTTTAAATTAAAAAAAAAAAAAAATTATATTTTGAGGAAATGCAATTTTCAAAATTAGAGATAAAATCCAAGCAATCCGATGATCCCTTATGACCAATCAATCATCATCCTGTTAATACTCCGGATTAACAGGAGGGCAGTGCGTTTGCAGACGTGTTGCTATCTTCCCAACAAACCACAGGCCACTCTGGTGTTTTAGTGACCAAAGCAATGACAAGGAGGATATATATTTTTTTGTGTAGCGCCATCTTTGCCAGAAGCCACTTGCCAACTGGTCTGGGAATTCAACCTGTGGTTGCTAACTAATCTCTAGGAGTGCAAAACTGAAGCCTGAGGGATGGCCACTGTCACTGACCTCACAGAGATCAGTCTGAAGCCTGAGCTTGTGGTTCACCAACATGTTATTTCAAACTTTGGCCAAGTTTCACGTGAGCATCCACCAGTAATCCAACAGTAATGAGAGAAAGCTAGGAGAAGCATAGCAGGTCCACTTTAAGCCCATGCACAGGGATAAATAAAAATGCCCAAGCCTTCTCCTCGCATGTGTGCTTTGATGGAAGGATAATGACTAAACAGGAAAATTATAATTAGTGAGGCACACGCCGTCTGTTCACAGACCCATAAAGAGCAAAAAAAAAAAAGAAAACGCAAAAAGGTGTGTACTCATGTTTAGAATGACCTCAGTCCAGGTGTTCTCACCTGTTGTCGATAAACATAGCAGGCTGCTATAGCAACCATTGTGGACTCCCCTATGAAACCAGCGAGGAGGGATCCGACCCCGAGTGTGGCCCCGTGAACCCTGAAACACACACAAAAAAGGAGCAGATCAAGTTTTGAACACCGTGAACTAAACATGGACCGGTGCGGACGTGAATTTGCCCGTCAGGAGTAAAAAGTGAGAAACCGCAGCTACGTATTGCATAACTGTAATCCTGACTCACAGCGCTGACCTCTGTGAACCTCTCAGTGCTCTCTGAAGTGGCAGCTTACCCCATATAAGGCAGCACAACTAGACTGGTGATGAGGACAATGATGCGCAGAACCGAGCTGGGGGCCAGCACAAAGGTCTTTTTCAGGGTCATGAGCCATCCAGTCAAATGAGCCCGAACAGTCACTGCAAACACACAGAAAACAGAAACACTCCCTCGCTTGTCCGAACGAAACACCAGTACAAACCACAGCTGGGAGCAAAAATGAAGCTGAAAGAGAAAAAAGGTACGTCTTACCTGGCAGGGGAAAAAAGGAGAAAATCCTGAGTGGGACCACGCACAGCTTAGCGAAACTATCCTCCACTCCAATTACATCAACCAGGATCTTCTCTGACACATGAGGACTCCAAAACACCACAAAGCAAAGCTGTGCAGGAAACGAACAAAGACTAAATTAATTTATCCCCCGCTATGCCTCATTAGATTTCATTAGTTCATTATCTCGAGGGGCTTCGGACCGGACGCGGGCCCCTTTGAAGCTCCCACAAAACAAGCAAGCGAGCGAACGCATGATGGACGGCGTTATTGTTCCTAGAAGGCGTTTCCGAAGCACGTGCAACATTACTGTAGCCATCTCAAAGCAATTACCCTGCGAGCGGAGCATTAATAGTGTTAAACAGGACAGCAAGCTGATCTGAACATGAATAATACATCGCTTTGTTTCGAATTGTAAAAACAGTTTCTCTGCACGCCGCACTTGGACTTAGATCAGAGGGGCTCTTCTATAAAGAGAGATTAATGAGTGAGGGAGGTATGTTGAGCCTAAAGCTAGAGTATTCAGTGTCACAACACAAGCGCTCTCTTTAATGTGGCAGGTCATCACAGCTAATGCTGAACACATACCGTGGTCTGGGAACAGGTCGTGTGCATTCAGTGATTCTTTCAGCTTAAAGCATGCCTTAAAGGTCATGCAGATTGCAACGTGCAACCGGTTGAGCTGAATCCAAGTCAAGCCAGAAGGATGCTGCACAGTGCAGAGAAATGCACTGCGCAGTCAAATGAATTCACATGCAGAAAATAAAGATTTTTATGCTCAGTTCCTCCCCTTTTATGTGAGCGTGCTCAGAGCCTGAAACAGGAAGACTGGGTTAACAGAGAAAGCTGATAACAGGTTATCACGCCCGTAGTTATCGCTGACTGGGTTTTTTATGTTTTGTCTAAAAAGTCTGACCTTGTCAAATTTGCTTCATAGCTCATCCCTCTGGAGTTCCCGGAGATGCATTCATGTTTTGACTAACCAACAGCCACTCTCCATTTGTTACCAACTACAAGTACTTGCCGTCCTCCAGCTGTTTTTCAGGATTCCTGAAATGTCTCAACTTGGAACAAAACACTGATGATCTGATCATCTGACAACCAGCATGTAAATAAAATGCACTCGATCACCTGGTGTCATATTTAATCATCCTCACTTGCTGAGTCTACTCTCAGCCTTATGCAAAGCACCCAGACCTTCCAGGAGTCCTCGCTCACCTCTACTTGCTTTCCTGCTGCTTTGTGTAACTACTTCCTGTCACATGCTGTCACCCTAGCCCTCTCTAAAACCTGAATAAGTAGAGAACAGACTATTAATTCTGCTGGGCATTCCAGCTTCCTCGTACACAAATTTGGCCTTGCTGGGTGAGGCGGTGATCCACACTTTGAAACAGTTGACAAATAGAAAGCAGAATGATATAATCACACACAATAAATATCTCCAGTAGGGCTCAATCCCCACAGAGTTCACCCACAGGTGAAAACTGTAATCTAATTCAGGGTCATGAGAAGTCCTGATATGAGGTGCCCTCTGAACAGGCTGCCAGATTGTCACAGACCTAACACACCATCTTATCACTCTAAACTAGTCTCAACAGATAAATGTAAAATGCAACACCAGCTGAAAAAACCCCCCCACCTGTTACTGCTCTAGTTTTCATCGCTCTGTAAACCTGCCTCTAGCTCAGCACCCATCGACCCAGATTCTCTCGTTCAGGTCTCTCTTATGCCATCTAATCTGAAAATGAATGATGACTAATCCCACCATCACAGAGATGCAGCGAACTCTGGGTTTAAACTCCAGTCCTGTGTGGTGCACTCTGTGGTGGAACCAGAAGTTTCCATATTACATTATTAATACTACATAGCCAGGATGTTAAACATGCAGTGCAGCGGATGGCTGTGAAAACTGAAGAAGGAGGGAGGATGACTCTTTTTTTCCCCCTCCTAACTTAGTGAATAAAAAAGGTACTCATTGTTACTTCTTCTTCCCAAAACTAGTGTTTACTCTTTTTAGGCACTGAAAATTACACCTCCAGATTCAGAAGAATTACACAGTAAATGTTGTGAAATTACACCCCAAGTTGCCGACTGGATTATAAAGTCCTAACTTTTTACACGCGAAAGGCGCTCAGTCTGGAGGCTTTTAAATTAAAGTTATAACGCAACAATTTTATAATTTAGTTCGGTTCTGTGGTCGATGATAATTGCTCTCAATCGGCAGCATTTGACTCAGCTCATTTATGGCAAGGAACGAGTAAAAAGTCACTTTTCTGTTCACTGGCATGTTGAATGGAGCCTTTCAGAGTCAGTCATGATATTTGTCCTTACACACCTTCACAAAAATTAAAAACTGTCAAAAGTGCAAGATTGAATTGATTTTCTTGCCCAGTAAAAACACTTCAAATAGTAAAAAAACAACAACACCTGATGTTCCAGCAGTTGTGATCGCTCAAACCTGCCACTAGCTCAGCACCCACCTACCCAGATTCTCCCACTCAGGTCTTTCTCATGCAGGCTAATCTGAAAATGAATGACGACTAATCCCACCATCACTGCAACCAGACCACTTTATTTAAATCACTGTTTATCTATGCATCACTTTAAGCCTGTGGCTCACCATCATGGTGCTTTTCTTTGATTAATGGCTGTTTGGGTTGGAGACATAGTAAGACACAATGCTCTGCAGTATTTTCAACATCGCAGGAAGTTTCAGATTTCTGATCCTCTGAACCAAAGTTTGGGTGAGGATTACTTCTTTTGATGATTTCACCTGGCGTCGCCTCACCAGTTATCATTACTTTAGCTAAAAAATTTTGAGGCGAGCAATTTATCTGGCCCGAGCGAAGCCGCCAATCTCCCCTGACTCAACCGCGGTTACTCTAAACAAGGTGAGACACCCCAGCAAGGTCTGTTTGCATAAGATTTAATTATCCGTTACGTAAGGTTAGTCACTCCCCTCCTCAGATACGCCTCGTCTACCTCCTCCAGTTGTTTTCACTCTGCTGCATTTCCTGCATGCGTAATTAATACAAGTCAGAGCATGAGGGCTTGTTTTCGACACAGCACCTATCTGCCTGTGGTGCTTTGCCGAACACACACCCTCACATAGAGGTTTACAGCTCTGGGATTCCACATCTGGTGTGCCATTCTTCTCCTCCTCTTTCTCCTCCTTAAAAAAGACCCAACCTTTGCCACAAACTTCCTGTTTTTCTTATTCAAGCTGTTAGGACAGCTAACTGAAGAAAAAGCTCATTCTCACTCGTCGCATTAATACCGAACAGAAGGCGAATATGATCAGGAAGAGCGTTTTTGCCGATTTAAAGGCATAACTGTCCAAACATTTAGCAGAGAAACAAAAACAGTGCGCAGCAGCGTGCATAATGACGCAGGAGCACTCATTATTTAGCAGAAAAGCATACCTGCAAGGGGCTTTTGAAATGTGTTAAATGACATGTTTTATGTGAATGCCCATTTTGTGATGCTCTTAAAACTTGGGTGGGACTGGGACAAAAAATAAATAAATATAGGCCCTTAGCCTGCTCACAAATTCCACCCTAATGTGTCTCCCTGCAACCTGAAACCAAGACGGCACAGCGAAGGAAGAGTACATATGAGTCATTAAAAAGTCGATCACTTAGAACCTTAGTACAGAGCAAACAGGGTTAGAGACATGCAAAAGCCATGTTGAACATGTTTGTGCAGAACACTGAACCAGTTTTGTTGGTCATGTTGGTCTGACTGACAGCATCTTTAACCTGTGATGAGGCAAGATTAAAAGTAGGCAAACAAGGCAGGCGGCTGCCAAAAAAACAAAAACGCAAAGGTTAGTGATGTTTGCACTCTCACATTCAAGATTAGTCTTTGAAAGACAAACATCAGGAAATGCTGCCAAACAGATTTGCATGTTTTCCATGTGTGAAACAGGAATACCTGGCTTGGGCTAGGAGCTTTTTTTTGTCAGATGTCAGATCAGCAAACAGCACCTCACACATTGGAACTCAATACAAGCTATCAGTTAGAAATGTGAGGCAACACGTTTAAGTAATAGTGGGGCTAAATTACAGCAACGCCTGCAGAGCAACTAGGCGCTTTTTTTCGTTTCTGAGCTAAAAACAACAAAAAAGGATGCGTTAAATTGCTTCAACATAATCCGGTATGGTGTGCAAAAATCAAAAGTCACCTTTCTTTTCTTTATATTTTGAGAGGAAAATGAGAAATAGCTGCAGCCATTAATTGAAACGTGCAAACACACGTGGAAATACAGTATATAAGATTCTAATGAACTCTCTTTAGCATACCTTGGTCTTTTCTGAGACCATTTCTGACGAGGCTTTAGTAACCATAGATAGATCGACCGGAGGGTCAGATGTAGATCTTGTGTCAGGTCTTTACTAGACTTTTTCCCCCACATTAGACGACACTTCCTTTGTCCTTCATGTGTCCAATTTTCTCAAATTTTGGCACAACACACCAACACATGCAGAGCTTTCAGCTTATAGCTCTTTGTAAACCTTCCTGTTGGTGGAAAAAAAAAATCTGTCTTACTGTGTCATCTTTGCCATTTTTCATATATTTAAGTTAAAGCACCGGAATAAATGATGTTTCGTGAAAAGCTGCTAGTAACAAAATCTAGCATTGGTTGTTTGCCAAGCGGTCTGTTATGTCTAGACACAACAAGTTTGTGGAGTTTGGTGCCTTTTCCTGCTTGACTGATTTATAGCTAAGTGTCAAGTGGCTTAACATTCCTGTGAAAATGGTCAGGTACAAGGACTGGACTGAAAATGATTTAAAAAAAAAAAAAACATAAAAATTGCAGCCAATGTCCAAAAAAAACAAACAAAAAACCTTCTGGCAAAATTACAAGTCTGGCTCCTTGGAAGCAAATTACGATGAAGTGATGGGTGGCTCAAGACTCTGCACTGTGCCCCCCGCATAAAAAAAGAAAGAAAGATCTTACCGTGAGTGACAGCGCCAGACAGCAGAATGTAAACTTCTTAATATGCGACTTGGTGACAAGGCTGCCAGCGTTCAGCTTGTTGCTGGGATTATTCTACAAGTGAGAGAAGCTCATTAGTGTTCTAGACAAAAAGCAGACTTATTTCTACTGTAAACACTAGCAGGGACAGTCTGAGAATACCTTGTCAAAGGCTGGGTATACTGCTCTCAGTTCAGTCAGCCAACCGTAGGGCATGTGGCCTACCGGGTATGTGGCTGTGAGCACAGCAACGGCCTGGAATGACAAAGACACGACAGCTAGAAGTCATCAGCACATCGGCGCTAGTGCTGAAAATACCACCCGCGCCACACAAGCGGCTAAATTAATGATAGAGGCCTAACAATAGCCGACGCGAGAGGAGCACATGCGTCTCTCACTTTCCCAGCAGCGTTCGGGTTTTGAAAAAGTTTGCGACCGGCCTTGAGCTTGTTATTGTGTCCCGAACAACAATGGGCAGCGAACAGTACAGCCATGGAGGAATGTTTTCACTCAGTGTTATGAAGCCCTGAGTTTCACATGTACATGGTGAATCACCCAAACCACTGGCAGCCAGTGTTGTCAATGATTTCCAGTTCATTCTGGTAAACAGCTTTGTATTGTCTCTAGTAGTTGGGGATCTCTGTAAGCCAGAAAGCTCCAGAGGGAGTTTGTTAGCTTTACATCTGCAGTAACTTGAGGGGGGGGGGGGGGGGGTCATTAGTAGCTGCGAAAGTCTCTCTTTACGATCCTGTGAACGCATCGCAACAATTAGCATAGAATAGCATATGAAGCAGTTTGCAGCAAGTTCGTAATTAAAAGAAATACAATAAACACGAGTGATACGCTCACCTCTGTGGCATCACTGGTGCCCTTGAGGTCACGAGACACAAAGAGGTTGACGATGGGTCGACTGATGCGCTGAGTGGCCAAGATGAGCGCGAGAGGCCACCAGAAACTCAGCATCTTTTTGATGGTGGCGTCGCCCTGCAGGGACAGAGAGAGGAGACGTGCTTGAGACTAGTTTTATTATTACGAAACATGCAAAAAAACCCAAAAAAGTCAGCACATAGCACATACCCCCACGTCAAGCCCGCTGGAGTCCGGGATGTTGTCGTGGATGTTGCAGTAGTAACCCAGCCCGACGATGCTGAAACGAACCAAAGCACCCATATACAGCGAAAGTATCGGGATGAGTAAGGGCTCCACACATTCCAGGTTACTGTGCAGGAGAATGGCCACGAAGACGATCTGCGGGAGAGGAGAGCGATCACATAACACGCTCACGGGTGAATTAAAGTTTGATTGAAAGCGAACGCGGGTGTGTCTCGTCACCTGAGCCACCACGTCAGAGATGGATGCAGAGCCGACGATAACGCTGTACTTGTGCTTCAGAAGGATCCCTGCGTGAATCCATGCCTTCAAACAATAAAGAGAGGTCAGCTCGAGACGCAAAGCGGCATTTTGCCCATTTTTCTGATCGCAGCCGGGCCGTATATTGGTGTGTTGTAGAAAACAAAACAGAGTTGATTAAAACCCGCCTGGTACGTTGAAACCAATGCTTACCATTGCATCCAACAAAGGGAACGCAGCCAGGTACAAGAAGGCCTTCCTTGTCTTGTGCCCCACAGATTCATCCACATGGTGGAGCTTATTAATAATGTAGTATCCTAAATCTGTGTATGCTGCAGGAGAAAAGGGGAAGGGGGCCACGGGTGGGTGAGAAGAGGTTAATGAGAAGATTTCTTCCCACGCTCGATTGTTTTGTGAAAGCTGCAGTAATGAACTCTTTAGGTCTGGCGCGTACAGACACACAAACACCAAAACGTTGCATTTTTAGGATGCGGTTTAAACACTGTCATCAGGCGTTCACAAACAACCCTTAAACACACCTATCAAGATATGCAGGATGAATGCGATGGCCCCGGCCGCCACCATGCAGAACACAGCCTTCCTCCGGTCCCGCTTGCTGTTGACAAACACCAAGCCCACATTCTTAAAGTCGCTCATTGGGCCGGTGAAGAACTTCATCAGGGAGTAGGCCAGACCGTAGCTGGCCAGCATTTCCACTGCATCCTCTTTGACTGTGGCTATGCCCCTGTTGAGGGCCTGGAAAAGATATGGCATGGAGGGAGGGAGGGGAGAGGAAGAGGTGAGACAGCACGTGAGGCATGACCAGCCCGCATGAGCGTGACTTGGTCTAACTTTATCTCTAGCCAGACAGCACCACAGCCCTTAACAGTCCTTCAATAAAAAAAAATTATTTTTTTTAAAGTAAAACACACAGAGGAATATGTGCCTGTCCTTTACAAGCGATCACACACAGTCACCCTGAGAAAACACAACTACAGCTGCTTTCTCTTTTTGCAGGACTCTGTGCTATTTACAGAGCCATTACATAAGCTTAATCCTGACATCTCCAAGCCTCTATGTGCGTGTGTGTGTGTTTTTAATTCTCACACTATCTGCACAGGCTCTCTGGGGTAAAAAGCAGCCATGAGATCACTCATTTGGCTAAGAAAGGACAGGAAATGTCCAGACAGGAAATATGACAATTAAAGGAAAATGTTGGGTGCGTTTTAATCCGTTCTCTATCATCTGCAAGTGGATCAGATTGACTGATAAATGACAGGAAAGAGGCGTGCTGTTAATAACACTGACAGCTCAGTGCGTTTCACGGCAGCAATGGCGACATTGTTTGTTTTTTTCCAGAATAAAAAAAGGAAGAAGAAAAAAAACATCAGGCCCTTCGTGTGGGTGAGAGATCCGCCTCTTTTGCTAAATAATGTACATAAACCTAATGGATGTCTCGACAGTCACATACACGACACCCCTCACGGCTAAGCTAGCCGCAGTTGAAGCCCCAAACCAGGGGGACTAAACGAGACTCGAAATGACTGGTGCCAGCTCGGGGAAGCGGTCGGTGTTTTCTGGGGCCATTTAAAAAAACGCTAAATAAATAAAAGATGCTAGTTGACACACCGAAGCACTCTCCCCGTCACAGCGGCGGCGTAATAAAACGGCCGTTAGCCGCCGCTAGCGAAGCCAAAGCTGCGGTGCCGTGAGTCTTCCTACCCCCCTCCCCTCCCGTAACCTGAAAACAAGCCAGCCGGAGCCGTTACCTGTTCTCCGAGGTCGATGGCAACATTGGTGATAGCCAAAGGCACCAAAAAGCGGATGAGAGGCCAGTAAGGGCTGAGAGATGGAAACTCCACCATAGTACAAGCCGGGATGACAGAGCGAGGGGCATCTGCCTCGGTCTTGATTGATGAGGAGGAAAAAGCAGAAGATTAGCGGCGAGGAGAGGCAGTCGGAGCACCTGTGTTTCTGCCGTCGGAGGGGGGGTTAAGTGGGGCAGCGGCGGCGGGAGGAGCCGGGGCGCTCCGGTAGCGGCTGCGCTTCACGAGGTTGTGGTGCTGCTGAGAGGATCCGAAGGTCAATGGAAATCTCACACCGGCGCATCTTCCTTGCAAATCGTCATCATCAAGGGGGTGGAGAGGAGAGGGGAGACGCGAGGTGACATCAAACAAAAAAAGGAGGGGACTGGGACGAACCGAGGTGGAGATTCGGATTTTTTATTTTTTTTTTTAAAAGAAGGAGACGCGATAATCCGGAGCAGCTCGGCTGGATTATCAGTTTCCGACAGCGTCGTGTTTGATTTCACTGCGCCTGTGCTGGGGCAGTCCGGCTGCTTTTCGACCCTCCCAGAGGCTGGAACCCACTGCTGCCCGCACGTGGGCCTGGCATCCCGGCCGTGACGTCACCGCCAAGTATAAATCTGGCTTTTTATGACAGCGGAGCACGCGACACACAGGAGAGCTAGCAGCAGGGGGTGGTTCGGTAGAGATGAATAATCAGTTCACAACCGTAAAAGAAAGTAAATCTAACTGGACTCTGGAGGGCAATCACATAGTAAAGCAATCATATACACCTACGCATGTCAGGTGTATCTCCACGAGGAGAGTTTGGTCTCATAAATCCTTCTATGTTGCACATTAAACCTGCTTTGAAGACACTTAGGTTTACGCAGCATAAACGGGTAAACGTACAAAGACATACACTGCCACCTGCTGGACAAAGACATTTTAATGTGCAACTGGATGAACAGGGGTGTACCAACAGCATTCTCATGGGGTGCCACTGGCTCACTGTGTAATATATGGGATGATAATATTAATCGAATATGGTATTTGCAAACGTAGTCAACATTTGATTCTATTTAATGCACTATCCAGTAGCTAATTAGCAATTTGTTAGTTGTATGATCTGTTGTAGTGTCTAAATATGATTCAAAACAAATAATCACATATAAATTCAATATAATACACTCACTTTCAGAGTGGACCCTTTAGTTACCAAACGTGAGTCCAAGCTTGATCATGTTCAGCAGAATTTTACAGACAAGTTAATGAGCAATTTGTGACAAAACTGATAACAGGGGAAACATTCCTCTAAACCAGGGGTGTGAAACTTAAGGCTCAGGGACCAGAATAGACTCAGCTAATGGTCCAATCCAGCCCACTGGATCGCTCTGGAAAATGTGAAGAAGAACCCGTCTCGAATGCCAGTCGTACTATACCAAAGTCATTAACTGATTATTTCTTTATAACAACAAAAACTATATATATTCTCTGCTCAGTCTGAACAATGAACTTTCATGAATTTTATCTGTAGTTTTAAATTAAAAAAAATCTCTCACTGCAGGATTAAAGCAATAAAAATATGAATGAATCAATATTTGTTATCCAGTAAAATACTGCATATGGTTCTGTGTAAGGAATACCTTTACACACACTCTCTCTCTGTCTCTCTGTCTCTCTCTCTCTCTCAGATAAAACTGAGGTTATTGTACTCGGCCCTGAAAATCTTAGAAATATGGTATCTAACCAGATTCTTACTCTGGATGGCATTACCTTGGCCTCCAGTAACACTGTGAGGAACCTTGGAGTCATTTTTGACCAGCATATGTCCTTCAATGCACATATTAAACAAATATGTAAGACTGCTTTCTTCCATTTGCGCAACATCTCTAAAATTAGAAAAATCCTGTCTCAGAGTGACGCTTAAAAACTAGTTCATGCATTTATTACCTCCAGGCTGGACTATTGCAATTCATTATTATCAGGATGTCCTAAAAACTCCCTGAAAAGTCTTCAGTTAATCCAAAATGCTGCAGCAAGAGTACTGACAGGGACTAGAAAGAGAGAGCAGATTTCTCCTGTTTTGGCTTCCCTTCATTGGCTCCCTGTTAAATCCAGAATTGAATTCAAAATCCTGCTCCTCACATACAAGGTCTTAAATAATCAGGCCCCATCTTATCTTAATGACCTTGTAGTACCATATCACCCTATTAGAGCACTTCGCTCTCGCTCTGCAGGCCTACTTGTTGTTCCTAGAGTATTTAAAAGTAGAATGGGAGGCAGAGCCTTCAGTTTTCAGGCCCCTCTTCTGTGGAACCAGCTTCCAGTTTGGATTCGGGAGACAGACACTATCTCTACTTTTAAGATTAGGCTTAAAACTTTCCTTTTTGCTAAAGCATATAGTTAGGGCTGGACCAGGTGACCCTGAATCCTCCCTTAGTTATGCTGCAATAGACGTAGGCTGCCGGGGGATTCCCATGATGCATTGAGTTTTTCCTTTCCAGTCACCTTTCTCACTCACTATGTGTTAACAGACCTCTCTGCATTGAATCATATCTGTTATTAACCTCTGTCTCTCTTCCACAGCATGTCTTTATCCTGTCTTCCTTCTGTTGCCCCAACCGGTCGCAGCAGATGGCCGCCCCTCCCTGAGCCTGGTTCTGCCGGAGGTTTCTTCCTGTTAAAAGGGAGTTTTTCCATCCAACTGTCGCCAAAGTACTTGCTCATAGGGTGTCATATGATCAGAATCAGAATCACAATCAGAAAGGGGTTTATTGCCAAATGTTGAGCAGGTTTACAACATTAGGAAATTGCTGCGGTGCTTCAGTGCAAACATAGTGTCATAAATAGCACTTAAATAGCACTTATTTTTGTTTGTTGGGTTTTTCTCTGTGTGTATTATTGTAGGGTGCACCTTACAATATAAAGCGCCTTGAGGCGACTGTTGTTGTGATTTGGCGCAGTATAAATAAAATTGAATTGAATTGTGTGATAGGCCTCAGCCTCTATGGATCTTGTGCTCGGGGCATGTTCCTGTGCTGCCATGATTAGTACCTCTGAGCTGTCTTTTTTCAGTCCAGCTTTGTCCAGCCACTGGTTGGATTTCTGGATGCCAGCCACTTACTCTATCTACCGGTGGTACATACCGTGCAGGGGCCTGTCCTTCCATCATGGTTCTTCTCATTGTTCCTCTTCTCTCTCAGGTTTCTGCTCCCTGAAGTATTCTCTAAGCAGGCGGTCTGTTGTGGCCATCTTCGTGATGTACTCAAGTATGTTCGGGTGTTCGTCTCATCCTGGACGGTCGTTTTGACACTGACTAATCCTTGGCCACCTTACTTCCGCTAAGTTTACAGTCTCAGGGAGGTGGACTTGGGCTGAAACCCTCCATGCATGGTCAGGAGCTTCCTTGTCTTGATGTCAGCGGCTTCTATCTCCTCGTTTGGTCAGGTTATTATCCCAGCAGGGCATCTAATCACCGACAGGGCTTGTTCTTCCCATTCAGCTGACTCTTCAGGAGGCTTTGCTGGTTCACACACATGTGATCTTTCTTTTTAAACCTAATCCAATAGTGAGAGGTGCTATGATGTACGGATTGATGACAGTGACAAAAACACAGGGCAGACAGTCTCTGCAATCCCTTTAAAACTAAAGGCTCCTGATAAGGGGGAAACATTTCATTTTATCATATTAATATATTACTCCATATTAAGCTGTCAAATTTGGTTACTTTTTATTTAAACACAGTGTCTTAGTATTTATATTAACAGACTCAGCTTCACTATAATCAGTCCTTTAATTAACTGTGAAAACCTGTAACACAAAGAAAAAAAAATCTATTTTTGCCACTTTAGTCCAGGACATATGCAGTTAAAAGGAACAGGGCTGTGCGATGTGATGCTTTTTTTCCCGCATGGAAACAGAACCAAACCTTGAGGTCACTTTACTGGCTTTGGTTTAAGGTTTTCTATCATAGTTAATTAGACTTGCTCTCATTGTCTTTTTAAATTCCTCAGTTTTCTTGCTTACTTTGTTTAACCTGTAATGTCAAGACTCGTGACTGCAGCCCTCCCTGAGTAATCCTCAGTCAAAGAACACAAAAGTTGTTTGTGCCTTTGATTGGTGCCTGAGGGAGGCTCTGCGGTGGTTCTAAGAGTTGACACAGCCATTTACAAGCAGACATGCCATTCCCATGCAGCTGTAACTAGAGTCAGATGTTTGCTCATATCTGCAAGTGCACTTTGTATTTGCATTGTCATTACGTCCAGTTGTGTCCACGTGATTCTTCGTGATGATAAGACAACTCTGTGGGTTTTTATTTGATAAAACAGTAAAGAAATGTATTCCCAACTTTGTACTCTGACTCATTAAGTGGGTGGGGTAACAAAGGACAGAGTGGTCACCAGGTAAGTCTGAGAATGTGTTTGAGTGTTACTTTGTGAATGCTGCAACCAGGCCTGGACTGAGACAAAAAAATCAGCCCTGGCATTTCTGGTCCAGGTGGCCCACCATGATCAGTCAAAAAGAAAAAAAATTAACTACCTAGCAACAACACCTTTTTGTGACTGCCAGGGCTTTATATGAGCTGTTCCTGGTACTACTATTAACAGTGCAGCAGCTAAGATGATGATTCATTTGACATATTTTGCTCAATCTATTTCTAGTTTCTTCTTCTATTTCTCTGTCAGCTCCACATTTTCACTTTTGTTTGTCCATCTTTATCAGCCACTTCTCCCACACTAAACTCTGTTCAACAAGGTGCATGACCGCACAGGGATAGTGGGGGAGGGGCTGGACAAGTTAAGAGATTTGACTGGGCAACCATACTCTGATTAGTAACTCTATAGTACTGTGGTAAACTCTAGGTGCACCGATTTATTGAACTGTGCAAACACATATGGAAATACAGTATGTAAGGTAAGAAAAACAGCGTTTTTACCATTTTAAGGTCTGTGAAAGTCAATATTTTGTTTGTCCACCTTTATTCTTCAACACAGCCTGAACTCTCTTAGTCAAGCTTTGTCATTTCTTTAAGTAGGCTTCAGGAATAGTTCTCCAGGCTTCTTGAAGGGCATACAAGGCTCTTCTTTTTGGATGTTTGTTGCCTTTTATTCTGTTCTCTGTCAACATGATCCCACACTGCTTCAATAATGTTGAGGTCCGGGCTCTAGGGAGGTCAATCAGTGACTGATAGTGTCTCATTGTATGTTTTTCTATGCGTTCACTGTATTGGCAGTGTATTTGGGATTATCAGCTGTTGTCAACCAGCTGTTTGCCAGATGGTTTTGCATGGTGGTTCAAAATCTGATGGTACTTTCTTGCTTTCATAATTCTTGGTGTTGGATCAGATCTCCAAACCATGACAGAGCCTCCACTGTGTTTTACAGATGGCCGTAGACACTCACCATTTGACCTCTTTTACTTTATCTGAGTCATTGCTCTTCCATTGAGATCATTTGTGATGAGGCTTTGTTGAACAGTAGAATAATCAAATAAAGGGCCAGATAACAATTTCTAAAAGACATAACTTTCATATACTGACTTTCATTAGGCCTGCCACCTTTTCACTTGTCCTCCATTTGTTTAGTTTCCTCAAACTTTTTAAGGACTCA